TCTGAAAAAAAAATAAAATAAGGGTAAGCTAGACAGCCTAGTAAATAACCAACCATCACTACCAGCTAGATCAAGTATATCAAAAAGAAGTAAATAAATAGTCGATAACCAATAAATATAATTTTTGATACAAATCAATAATTGACACGATTATTTGTAAGATGGTTTCATAGCTGAAAATAAACAGTGTAGCAATACATTTTAATTAAAAGTCAATGGGGTAACTCGATGAAATTTCGTTGTCCATAATTGATAGATCGATATTCAGATAGTTCAATGATCGATTCACAAAACCCAAGTCTTAATGACTACGGTCACCTAGCCCGTGACAAGGCCAAGAACCACACATAGGCCGGTGGTAAAGCCCCAAAAGAAACTAGTTTCTGTGTCAATAAATAATCCCCATTGGCTAGGGTCCAAATCATAGTCAAACTAGAGTGATATTCAAAATTCAAACAATACACAACTTTTAAATGAAATATTCGATATTTTCAGAATAAACATTTGGTACAATTTTCAGAATAGTTTTACAAAATATTCAAATAACTTTCATAATAATATTCGATATTGTTTTATACTTGACCCATATTTTATTTTAAGAGAACATGAAGGCTATAAATAAATAGTTATAATTTTAAACGATTCAGTAGGAATAAAAATGAACCAACAGTGATAGAGGGTTACTTACCTCAAACGCTTAAAATAATATTTCAATACTAACTCTAAACACCCAGCTTCACCACTTCAATCACACAAACCTAATAAAATATTATACCACATAAACAATTATTATTGATCACCATGATGCATCTATCATTCTTATCTTTATAATATAATAATCTAATAATCTAATAATATAGTCTACAAGTAAAATCCAAAACCCCAAACCCCAAAATACAGCTTCCTCAATCTTCAAGACTTCATCTATTCTATTGTTATTATTATTATTTTTTTTTACATATATAAACCCATAGTTGTTAGAAGTCAAAGCCAATAGGATTGCTGATCACATATCAGACCCAAACACGCACACCAAAACCACATACCAGATACTTGTAGAAAGGAATAGTTAGGAGTACCATAAAAAAAATCTTACCTCCAAGAGATGATTAGATCAAAATTTTTCTCCCTAAATCTGCCGCAGTAGCCACAACATCCAATACCTCTATTTGTTTGTGCTTATATGTTTCCAAGACCTAAAGCCCAAGTGGGCTTATAACCCAATCTCCCAAAATTACAAACTTAACCATCTAAGTAATAAAAATTATAAAGCCACCTCATAACTAATTCCTTGATAGTACTAAATGACCCATATAAATTAATTTAACTATTACTTTATCCAAAAATAATTCTACACATAAAAATTTTAGATTTTACAGGGTGGTTGTGTATTGTCTTTTTCCCAAGCCACGTTGATGTGAACAGATTCAAACCGATCTACAAACTATCTAAATTCGAACCGCAAACACCTCTACTTTTAAAATCTCTCATTGAGCCTACAAAGTTTAAAATGTGCAATTGTTCACTTGGCCACACGCTACTAGAGGAAAGTTGTTGACAAGTTAGCCAACATGGGAGTGGCCCAGATGTACATGTAGTGATCTTTGAGTGCATTTCCAACCCAATCCTCTTATTGAGAGGATGAAAATAATTTTTTTTATTCAAAAAAGAAATATAGAGTATGTTACTATTCATTTAAATTTCAACTACAAATCTTCATTTTTTTCCGGATAGGTGTTATCAACAGCAATTTATTTATTTATTTATTTTTGAACTTGTTGGGCATTTTTTTTAAAACATTAATCATCATTTTCTTCTCTAAAGATTTCTCTTAAAAATATTTTCATCAAAAAGGAAATAATTTTTGTTCATTAACAAATATTTAATTTAAAACTTTTTGTAAAATATATTTACTATTATTCTCATTTTAAAGGTATAATTTCATCAAGGTTTGCATGGCATAGGCAGGCATAGCACTAGTTACAAATTGAATTAAGGTTGCTCTCCCTACCAAAGATAACATTCCCGATTTCCACCCAGCAAGTTTAGTCTTAAGTTTTTCCAGAATATAATTAAAATTTTCTTTACTCACTCTAGAATGGAGGGTTGGGACCCCAAGGTATTTCCCTAAATTTTGTGTTAAGGGGATTCTACTCAAAGTACTCAGGTTTCTAGCTCTGCTCCTAGAAATATTAGGGGACACAAACATATGAGATTTTTGGAAATTAATTTTCAAACCCGAAATAGCACTAAACTCATTCAAAACTTTCAAGATGGTGTTGCAATTGTGTTCATTGGCTTTCGCAAAAAGAATCAAGTCATCCGCAAAAAACAAATGAGATAAAGTGGGACCATTCTTAGACAATCTAAGGCCAGTCCATTTTTTCCCATGCACCATTTTACTAATCATGACAGAAAGCCGTTCCATGCACAAAACAAAAAGGTAGGGGGATAAAGGATCCCCTTGTCGAAGACCCTTAGCCGATTGGAACGCATCAAGAGGTTCCCCATTCCACAAGATAGCAGTGTTTACAGTAGTAACACAGCTCATAATCATATCAACCAAGCGCCCATCAAGTTGAAACTCTTGCATCGTGTGTTTAAGGAAATTCCATGATATATTATCATAAGCCTTTTCAAGATCAACTTTAAAAATCATGTACCCCACCTTACCTTTTTTCTTTCTAAGGGTGTGAATAGCTTCCTGAATAATGATGATGTTATCATGAGTGGATCTACCCGGGATGAAACTACTTTGATTAGGGCTGATGAGAGAGTCTAGGAGTGGCCTGAGGCGGTTAACCAGAATTTTGGAAATGATTTTTTAAGTGACGTTGCACAAACTAATTGGACGGAATTGTGTCACATTTTCAGGGTTGGTGACCTTCGGAATAAGGGCTATATAAGTTCTGTTTATCACAGAAGGAATGGAGTGGTGGGCAAAACAATCTTGGACAAAATGGATCACAGACATTCCCATAACATCCCAAAAGGTATGATAGAATATGGCTTGGTACCCATCAGGACCCGGGGCTTTGAAAGCTTTGATATTTTTAACAGCCCTCCAAATTTCAGTCCCAGAAGCAACCCTACACATCTCAGCCTTATCCTTCAAACTAATGTGTTTAGTTAAATCATTCCAGTGATCAAGACAAATAGTAGGAGTACAGGCAAACAGGTTTTGAAAGTGTGTGTTGACTACGTTTTTCAAAGCAGTGGGGTTATCAACCCAAACGCCCTCAGTATTTTTCAAAACTTCAATTTTAACCTTGCGTCGCTTAACAAGAGTGGACAGGTGAAAAAACTTAGTGTTTCGCTCCCCTTGGGTAAGCCACTGAACCCGAGACTTTTGAAACCAAAGCAATTCTTCTTGGTATAACACTTTATTAAATTCATCAATAAGATCATTTTCAAGCTGATGGAGATTGTGGGAATAGTGGTTAGCTTGGGAAGTTTGAATTCCATTTATCCTACCAAGCAGCCAATGTTTGTGTCTAAAGATGTTGCCAAAAACATTTTTATTCCAATTATTAGCCACAGTTTTCATGCAATCCAAGTTTCCCAACAGGTTGTGAGTGTTGTGAGGTGGCCAGCAATTTTCAACAACTGTCCGAAAACCCTCATGGGTAATCCAGGCAGCTTGGAACTTAAACGACTTGCAGGAAGGCTGATAAGAATTCGTACCTTGAGTGTGGACAATGAGAGGTGAGTGATCTGAATAAGTACGAGGCAAATTTCGAACATAACCTTCAGGAAATAAGGTTCTCCATTCTGCATTACAAAGAGCCCGATCCAATCGCACCATAGTATTAGCCCACCCTTTTCGGTTATTCGTCCAAGTGAGCCGAGGTCCGACGCAACCCAAGTCCATAAGATTACAATTGTTTACCCTGTCTGTGAATTTCTGGCTTCTTCTGTGGCTTTGATTGGAGCTATGACCTTGTTGACATAATAGACTTCTTTTGTCAGTTGTGCTGGAGTAGTCATTGAAATCCCCTGCTACCATCCATGCAGCTTGGAGATTTTGCGCAATGGTGTCCAAATCCTTCCATAATTCATCACGCATTCTGGGATTCGGGCTGGCATAGATGGCGGAGAGTATCCACTCAGGATACTCCTGTCTAGAAATTGTAGCAGTTATCATCTGGGAGCTTGCTTCATTAACCCGGACATTAATGAGGCTAGGAATCCATAACAACCATATTCCACCACTTCTTCCTATCGGGTCTACATGGGTTGATGCAGTGTACCCAAGATTATTGAAAAACATTCCCATTGAGTTCAAATCCACTTTGGTCTCCATGAGAATAAGCATGTCAGGTTTGTGCATTTGCACTAGTTCACGCAGATTCCTACGAAATCGGTCATTACCCGCGCCCCTACAGTTCCAAATCAGCAAATCCATAGACGACATTTGAAAGGTTGGCCAGCTCTCTGTCTCAAGCAGCCCTAGGATGCTTCTCACACACTTCTGATCGGCCTCCATTTCTTTCGCTGGTTTCACTAACACCATGTGTCGCACATTGTGCGAGTCTATCTCCCACCATGGTTGGATCAGGAGCTTCACTGTTTCTAACCACCAATCTATCCCGACGTGGTGAAAGACTTCTTTCCCGAGTTCCATAAACAACAGCGTTCGGAACTGATTCACTCGATGTTCGGTCATCATGATGTTCTCGGCGGTTTCTTCCATTTTCCTTGGCCTCGTGTATTTCGAGATGACCCAGTGCTTTCCCCCTTCGAGCTTTCGATCGATGAGCTGAGGGTTTACCTCCTACCGATACAGCTGAACCAAGTGGGGTATGTTCAACAGGGGAAGGTTTTAGGCTAGTGAGAGAGTTAGGGTTTGTTTGTTTGTTATTTCCGTCTGAGCTAAAAGTTGATCCCTCATTTTGTGTGGTAGCCTGCGTTATCAGTGGGATCTCTCCATTGGTACCAGGCCCATGTCCTATACCCAGCCCTGAAGTTGGCCCAAGAGCTGGCCCCATGTCCTTCTCCAATTAGGTTTGGTCCACATCCATACCAGGTGAGCTCTGTGTATTAGTTGGCAACGGTCTTTGATTTGGACCATAAGAAATACTGTTTGTGGCAATGTTGTGGCCCAAATCTAAATCTAGATAATGTTCCTGGGCTCTGCTGCTGTCCCCATGTACAGTAGTCGAATTTAGCACTTCAAATCTGTTACCTTTATATAGTTGGGCCTTAGACTTATGTTTTCCTTGCTGGAATTTCCGTCGACTTGGGGCAATGGTCCATGGGCCATATCCACTTTTCTCCTCCTCGGTGCAAGCTTCCTTATTCTGGTTCCCAGTGGGCCTTGATGAACCCAGCCCAGAATCTAAACCTGGTGTTTTAACGGTAACATTTTGCATCATCTTCTCCGACAAAATCACCGGATATTCGGGGCATTTTTCTTTCCGGTGACCCACTCGGCCACAAGAAAAGCACAACGTATGTAAATGTTCATACTCTACTACGTAGTGGTATCTTCCAATAGTTAGGTGCGAGATAAACGGTTTGCGCAGATCCATTTCCACACATACTCGTGCATACTTCCCGCGAGCCGCCATAGCCGTGTTAATATCGATCTTTAAAGGGGTGCCAAGAACCTTCGATATATGATATAGAACTTTTTCATCATAGTATTCAATGGGGAGGTTAGGAAACCTGACCCAAATAGCCGTTGTGTCCTCCTCTGCCTCATCTGAGACCCACTCGGCCACAAGAAAAGCACAATGTATGTAAATGTTCATACTCTACTACATAGTGGTATCTTCCAATAGTTAGGTGCGAGATAAGCGGTTTGCGCAGATCCATTTTCACACATACTCGTGCATACTTCCCGCGAGCCGCCATAGCCGTGTTAATATCGATCTTTAAAGGGGTGCCAAGAACCTTCGATACATGATATAGAACTTTTTCATCATAGTATTCAATGGGGAGGTTAGGAAACCTGACCCAAATAGCCGTTGTGTCCTCCTCTGCCTCATCTGATTTAAAATCGGGTTGCCATTTGCGGACTGTTACATATCGATCTAGAACTACCCATGGCCCCCCAGTGAAAACTTTAGTATAGTCCTCCATCATTTCAAATTTTACGATGAAGAAACCATTACCTATATCCAGAGTTTCAAAATCCGCTTGCAAATTCCACACCTCTCATTCTGCTTACAAAGAGATTATAACCGACCTGCCGTCCCAACAATCTGACAATTAAACATTGCTTCCATGGCTCTCTTACTTTCTTGAGTAGCCCAGCAGGAAGTTTCACTACCGGGTGCGAGGTATTCCCCCCCTCCATAGTTTCCTCTGTGTCCTTCTCATTTTCCATCTCTTCATCTGAAGAGAGATATGCCGCTTCGCAATCAAACTTGCGTTCTATTTCAATTTCATTGAAACGAGATCTGAGAAGAGCTTGTTTGAAAGACCTATGCGTGCTCTTATCCTTACCAGTTTCTCCGATGGTGCCAATTTGATCTGCAGTTGCCTCCACAGTTCGGTCGTAATCCGTGTCCGTGAATTCAGCATCAGGATTTCCATTATTTTTAACCTTTTTCTTACTCCGATCAAGGTAATCTTGTTCCTCTGTTGAAGTTCCATGGTTGCCAGTTTCTCCTCCAACGGTCATCTTGTTCTTTATCTCTTCGTCCTCTCTCTCTTGAGGGCATCTTCAATCCACCCTCTATAACTATTTATTCTTTCAATTCATCCTTCAAATCCATCTCTATTTGAAAGAAGGATGGATTGATTCTCCATATTTGGAGGGAGGATAAAAAATAAAGGATCCCTCTAAAATATTATTCATTTTATATTTTTTTACTATATTACAAATAACTTCTAATATGTAAATTTAATTTTTATAAAATTTGCATCATTCAAAATGGTGAAATTATACCTTTAAAATGAGAATAATAGTAAATATATTTTACAAAAAATTTTAAATTAAATACTTGTTAATGAACAAAAATTATTTCCTTTTTGATGAAAATATTTTTAAGAGAAATCTTTAGAGAAGAAAATGATGATTAATGTTTTAAAAAAAAATGCCCAACAAGTTCAAAAATAAATAAATAAATAAATAAATTGCTGTTGATAACACCTATCCGGAAAAAAATGAAGATTTGTAGTTGAAATTTAAATGAATAGTAACATACTCTATATTTCTTTTTTGAATAAAAAAAATTATTTTGAATAAATTGCTCCATTCAACATATCAAGAGGGAAGCCAACATATGTGCGGACGCAATGGCAAAGTTTGGGGAAAACCAACCAGCTGAACTGCTAATAGTTTCTGAACCTCCTCAAGAACTTAGTCGTCTGTTAGTTGCGGATATTGTCCACCTCTCCGAGGAGAGAGCTAGGGCCTAGTCTCTGTTTGCTTTTCTTTCTATTCCGATGTACCTAAAAAAAAAAAAAGATGCCCTCAAGTTAAAGTTCGAGCTCTAGTCATAAATGATATGGCTGGAGCTACTTTTTTGGGGGGATTAGCCCTTCGTCTTGATGTAATTGCTACTATACTCTTGTTTACTTTAATTTCGAATAAATAACAATAATAATAATAATTGATTGTAATTAACAATTCAAATAATTATATTATTATATAAAAGAATCATTATGAATTTTTTTAAGTTAATTTTATTAAATAAAAAATTATGAGAAAAAAATATTTATAATTTTTTAAAATAAAAGAAACAATACCTATTTAAAGTAAACTTTAAGATGTATTAATAGAAAATTCTAATATACACTCATTTAAAAAGGATATATCATATGTACCTCTAAATATTTCATTTTCATTCATCAATTTTCTTTTTTAGTTACACTATTATTTTAATTATGACTTATGAATTCTTTAGTTATCTCTCATATTATGTTTAATTATAACAATTTTTTTTTTAATTATGACTTATAAAATTAAAATTATGTCATTTTTTTCTTTTTAATCAGAAGTGTGTGCACTAGTGTTTGCCGTTTGTAATTTGAAAAATTATTAGTTGGTCTTGAAGCACTATATAACCATACCCCACACCAATCACAATTTAACATACCATATCATATTTTTTAATCACTTAACACAAATTCGTGAACTCCACCCTTTCCACTAATCACAACATGCATCACGTGACGATACTTAAGATTAACAAATAACTTCTCTTGTAATTCACCCTTAAATTTAACTGTATTCCTACACGCATTAATTGATATACTAATTACTGTATAATTATAAGAGTTATGTTAAGAATCTCAAATATTCTATCAAACCTCTCACATGCATGTGAGACTTACACACATGTAGATTTGTGCGAATCCCGCCCCATGAGAGAGGGTTGGTAGAATATTTAGTAAAATATTTGGGATACATAATATTTCTCTTAATATAATTATGATATCATCATTTAAAAATTATGCTCCACCCTTTAAAATTTCTAAATTATATTACCTAATATTTTAGTATAAATTTAAACAAATAGGAGTAGGGGAAAGAGAGAGAGAGATAGATAGATAGATAAGCGGGTGTTTGCGGGGCTGATTTCCCTGACTATACCATTTTTAAAATTTTAATCCCACTTTAGGGTGGGTTTTTGTCTTTATTCCCATAATAGGATAAAACGGTTTTAGAAATACCGTTTTTTAGAAAACGGCTTTTGAAAAGCCGTGTTTTGTGATTAAAATAATAATAAAATTTGAACATAGAAAACGTTTAGAAAAGTCGATTTTAATTAAGTTTTTAATTAATTCTAAATTAATTAAAAACGGTTTTGGTAAAACCGTTTTTACACTACTTTTTAATTTTTTTAATTTATAATTTCAACATAAATATTTTTTGATCAAAAATATTTTTAATACAAAAACGGTTTTGGAAAAGTCATTTTATAAAATGGAATTAGAAATACCGTTTTTCAGAATTTTTTTTTTTTTTTTTTATACATAATCACTAACAAGAATTTGGTTCTTTTTACAAACTTGATATTGATAAATCCGCGAGTCTAGAAATTCATTTCGGACAATTGAACCTTCTCGAACTGTTTCTTTTTAAGAACCAAAAAAATTTGTGCCAAAACAACAGATGCTAAGAAGAACAAAAGGCCTTGAACACGTAATGGATCTTGAAGTACTATTTCTGCATCTCCCTGACCAAATCCGCCCACATTAGGATTACTCGTTAATGGTTGATCAAATTTGATGGATTCGCCTTCTGAAACAAGAAGTTCTGGTCCTGGAGGGATAATATCAACCCCTTGACGTCCATCCGATGCATCTGCTATGGTTATTTCGTATCCCCCCTTTTCTTTTCGTATGATTTTGCTTACTATACCTGCTGCTGTAGCATTATAAACTGTATTGTTACTCTTGTTCCCGTCGGGATAAATCTGACCCCTTCCCCTGTTTCCACCTACATATATAGGATATTTTAAGAAGTGAACATCTTTCTTAGTAGCAGGGTCCGGGGAAAGAATAGACCAAACATATAAGAAAAAAATAAAAATATTTTTATAAAATAAAAAAAAATATTTAAAATAAAATTCATATAGTTGAAATAAAAAATAATTTTTTTTCATTTTTTGAGAGAAATTTTTAAAAAAATAAAAACTTTGAGGAAAGAGTTTAGAAATTTTATTTAGATTGTTTAGTTGTATATTTTGAAAAGAAAATGCTATGAACGCCAAATAATCTATCAAATATTTTATCAAATCTCTCACATGGGTGCGGGATTCACACAAATCCAAAATTTTATTTCAGCCTCCAATTTATGATTTTTGTGAAGCACTCATTCCTTTCCAGAACTGAAGTGTCAACTGACCATCCACTTGCCTTTGAGAGTCTTTTCAAAACATGAAACTTTTTTCAAAATTCAAAATTCAAAAGCTTATTTCAAAATATTTTTTAAATTTTTTTTTCAAAATTCATAATCAAACAAATTTTCTCTTTTCAAAAGTGATTGATTGATATGTAGGAGAGAAAAAGTAATTTTAAATTTTTTTTAAAAAATTATATTTTGAGATTCAAACCAAATAAGTCTTACGTGTTTGTTGGAGTATTAAATGGATTATGTTTTTTTCTTTTTTTTTTGGTCTGTGTTGTGATTTTCTAAAGAAACACATCTTTAAATGCGTCTGCTCTCTGTCACTCTTCTTCTGGTTCCCAAGTCCAACCTTCCCACATGGGAACAACCGGCAAAAAATAAATAAATAAATAAATAATTCTGAAAACGGTTTTTCCAATTTCGTTTTATAAAATGGTTTTTCCAAAACCGTTTTTGTATTAATAATATTTTTGATCAAAAAATATTTATGTTAAAATTATAAATTAAGAAAATTAAAAATTAGTGTAAAAACGGTTTTACTAAAACCGTTTTTAATTAATTTAGAATTAATTAAAAATTTAATTAAAATCGACTTTTTTAAAACCGTTTTCTATGATCAAATTTTATTATTATTTTAAGGCACCGTTTGGGAAGTGGTTTTGTGGGGGTTTTTTTGGCTAATTTAGTCACAAAAGACAAAATAGACTATTTTAGTCACAACAAACAAAACATCACATCCAACCCACAATCATTACACTCTTCTCTCACAAAAAAAAAGTCAAAAAAATCAAAAAGCCAAAAAATCCTTCCCAAACCAAACTTTTTAACTCAGACTAAAATAACTAAAAAAACCAAAAAACCAAAAAATCAACCCACTTCCCCAACCAACCCTAATTACAAAACACGACTTTTCGAAAGCCCGTGTTTGGGGCTTTGGAGTCATCACAGACACAGCTGGCGAAATCTGGAGTTGGGGTTGGGACATAGTAGTGAAGTCGTTGAATCGAGGGCGTGTAATGGGTGATGACAAGTCCGCGATGGTAATGGCATTGGCGAGCAGAGACAGCAGAGATCGAGAGCTCCTCATACCAGTCGCCGACGCCTCCGTCGTTGATCATGACGACGACGCCTCTTCCAAACCCTCCTCCTCCTCCTCCTCCTCCTCCGCTTCTTCCTCTCATCACTCCGGTCGCGAGGTGTGTTCCATATTTTGAAATTCTGTGTTTCAATCTGTACTATGGTTTACGGTTTTGGACTCATTTACACTAATTTTGTTGATTTTGTTTGTTATTAGTGTTTGCTATTTTTATTTTTATTTATTTTATTTTTTTATATGAGCAGTTTTTCTGGTTTCATGATGAACATGTACAAAACTCATTTGAAGGAACAAAAATTCATTGTTGACTTTGTTTAGTTGAGTCAAAACACCAAGTTCGTTCTTGGGGGGATAATGAAGTAAAGGAACAAAATTTTCTCGCACAAGTTTAAGCATTTGAGTTATTTCTTGCAGTTTTATTCGCTGCTGTCTAAACTTTTTTTTTTCCTTCCAAAAATCGCACAAACCCTCCTTGTTTTACCTTGAAATTGTACTTTAAAAAAGGGTAAATTACACTGATCTGACGACTAAGGTTTGGAGGTGGTGGCTTGGTGGTGGGGCGACAGCGGCGATGATGGTGGTGTGGTGAAAGAAGTTCCCCCTCCAGGGGAGTTTTTATTCTTCATAAGAAAAGCCCCTTTATTAGTAAGGCGGTTCCAGTTGAAAGGTCATGAGAGGGCATCTTTCATAAAGAAGAAAATTCATTTAGATCAACTCGTTGATTGTTGGGAGCTTTCATTCCTCTATATTCGAAATATGCCTTTCTAGGAGCATTATGATTTGCAATTCAAATGGTCCCTTATGAAGTCTCTATTGGTCTTATTCTTATTGTGCACCTTGTGAGTGCGTTTGGATCCGCAAAGGCAATCGCTCTGATGTTATCCTAGCCCAACCCAGGAACAGACAGGAGGGAACCGCCGCATGGGGAATGTCCGGGTCTTGTCACAAGGCTCATTTTTACTTGTGGGTCATAGGGCGGGCAGCTTTATCTGATCAAAGGCCGGGGCACAAGGGTCCTAATACTATCTAGGTGTGAAAAACCTGGAGGTTTTCCCTTCTAGCTTTGGGGTAGTTCAATAGCTATCTAGCTACAGAAGTGTAGTAATGCTAAAACTGTGGAGCTTCCTATATTTTCTCTATACCGGTACCGTTTGTTTCACTGGATATAAAATGGAGGATATAATATGATGAGGATATAATATGATGTGAGATTTAGGCCTAGTTTGGCTACTCCCAAAAAAGTGCACTTATTTCATCTTTTTATCTTTTTTGGGTCACATCAATCAACATCTCCTCTCTACTTTTTCTACACATAATACAAAAAAAGTCAAAAAGTGCACTTATTTAGTCTTCCCAAACTAGGCCTTAGTCAGGATATATAATGAATAGGATATAAGTATTGGATAGTATATCTCCCAAGTCATGTTTGTTGACTTATATATAAAATTGGATATATGTTATGCATGTTTGTTTTACAAAATATATTGTGGGATATAACAAGTAATTTCCAAGATTGCTCTCGTAATATTATATTATATTAAGGCCAAGTTTGGCATCCTCCAAAAAATTCAAAAAGTCAAAAAGTCACTATCCTATTTAAGTCACATCATCTTATTTAAATCACATCACCTCTCTAATACATTACTTCAAACCCAATCCAAATCCAACCCATATTTCATAAAAAGTCAAAAAGTGCACTTATTTAGTCTTCCCAAACTTAGCCTAAATTAAATTAAATAATATTATATTATATTAAATTCAAAATTTGTATTAAATTAAATAATATTAAATTAAATTAAATTCAATAATATTATATTAAATTAAATTAAATAATATTATATTATATTAAATTCAAAATTTGTATTAAATTAAATAATATTAAATTAAATTAAATTCAATAATATTATATTAAATTAAATTAAATAATATTATATTATATTAAATTCAAAATTTGTATTAAATTAAATAATATTAAATTAAATTAAATTCAATAATATTATATTAAATTAAATTAAATAATATTATATTATATTAAATTCAAAATTTGTATTAAATTAAATAATATTAAATTAAATTAAATTCAATAATATTATATTATATTAAATTCAAAATTTGTATTAAATTATATTATATTGAATTAAATTAAATTAAATAATATTATATTATATTATATTAAATTCAATAATATTTATATTATATTAAATTCAATAATATTAAATTAAATTCAATAATTATATTATATTAAATTCAAAAAAATATATTAAATTGTATTATGTTAGATAGACAAAAGGGTAAATTGGACTTTTTACATCATATCCCAACCAAGGGGATATGATATAATGGGGGGGTGGTATTGTATATCCTCTACTTTTGGGGGATATACAATCCCACCGGATATTATATCCCCTTCAAAAAAAAATTGCAAACATGGAATACATGGACCCCACCGGATATAATATCCAATCCCAATCTTCATATCCCCCAATCAAACAGAGGTCAGTGTAATTTACCCCAAAAAAATGTTATGGTGTATGAAGAAATCTTTTAGTTGCTAGGATTGCCCATTAAGGTCACCTTTTGAACGCCATGTAGTTAATTATATGGTCAATTAATTGATTAATAAATAACCATTTTACTTCCTTTCTGTTGACTGTATTCAATTTTTACTGATTAATTAAAGTTGGTTGAAAATGCTGTGAAGTAATCAAATTGATTAATTACTTGAAATTTGATTCCTGACAACTTGCTTCCCTTGATAAAATTATGCTTTTACTGAAGATGTAATGCTGGCCATAGAGCTTGAATTATACACTTTGTAACTACTTTCATCCTCAAAGTTGATAAAGCAACCAAAATGCTCTAGCCATAAGCTACATAGTCTGTGGAATCTTAGGTATCTCTGGACCAAGTTTTTATGTCCTGATGGCAGTTTTAGAGGGGTTGGGTACAAGTGGGGGGTAGGCTAGGCTCGGTGTTTGCTATAGAGGATAAGGGTAGCATTGATCTTTGTTCCAAGATGATTCCTTTCCAATCTGTAATAATTTCAGATAATGTGCTAGTTATCTATTTTCAGTGGATTGGCTCAAGTCATGTTTAATTTATTTGAATCTGGAGACTTTTGTAAGATCTTTCTTTGTAGTGTGTATAATTTTGTGGAGTTGAACCAATCCTAATATAAAACTTTTGTTAATGAACTGTTACTTTTCAAATGACCCGGTGGGCTGCAGCCTGCAGCCAACAATCTTTGTCAATTTCTACAAAGAGGACACACGTGTGTTACAATAACGTCTAGGAACTCTTAACATGAGTGGATACCCTCTACCATCACCAAGCTTATTATTCTGCATAAACAATTGCACTTTTTTTTCCAGATAATCTGGACTCCTATACACTGTACTACTGCTTGCACTTAGACCAGACGTCTGGCGATTGAAGCAATCATAAGCAAGCATGCACATATCAACTTGACCATACCCAGTCGTGCACACACACTTCCACGAGTACATGCTGACATTATTTCTTCCACAATTAAGCCACTTAGCACCACACAACTTCTAAGTTCACATCGTGGGATAGTTTTGTTTAAGCTAAAATCATTGTGTCCTTGGAATGCCCATGGAACCACTGTTACATAAGGTTTATTTTATTTTATTTTATTGTGTTTGTGTGTGTGTGTGTCTGTATATTCTTCTTATATGGTCTGACAAATTTTGTATATCATGTCACGTTGTAGACTTTCTACAAAGTTGTTAGGAGCTGGACTTCAAAAAAGTTTATGACAGGATGGTACTCTCTCTCTCTCTCTCTCTCCTGAACATATTTTGTTATCTTGTCATCTTCTTATGTTGGAGATTTTATGTTATGCATCATATCATTCATTCTTTCTATAAGATCTAACTCTTGACCTGTGTCATGATGTTCTTCAATCTTGAATTTTGTCATCGTCATCATGCAAAAATGTAGGAAGTACTCATTGAGGAGAGATTGCTAATTTTTAGAATAGTCAATTGGAAGGGAATCTGAGTTCTATGAAGAATTTAAAGGCTTTTGGCCTATGTGGAACATATTTTATTGAGAGTTCAATTACTGTTTGGCTACTCTGGTTTGGTCTTCCCCAAAAAGTTGTATGATGGGAATTTAGTAGGAACTAGGTCCATACCGTTATTATATTGTATTGATAAGTACTAGGTCCAGACTGTTATCATGGAACCAAAGTTAGCAATAGTAAATACTAAGCGTTACAATTTGTGCTTCAGAAAAGACAAGAATTTGATTTTGAAAAATCAAACTGGAATTGTCTGGGGAGGTCTGCAGTGGTGTTATTGACTTCGGATGTTATTTAGTGTTTTGATACTTCTAAAATTAATAAAACTTCTTTTGTGAGAGAAAAGGCACCATATGATATGCATCCGATTAGGGAAGGTTATTTAGGATTTTGGAAAGTGAAATCTAGTAAAATTTTTGAAGAGAAGTTTGCTCAAACGAAGTTTTATTTGTTGGAAACTTCAAAGGAGTATTAATAATTTGTTACTACTATAGAACAATTAGCGGCAGTATAAAGATTATATTATGGATGAAGTACTCATTATTCTGGAGGAGGCTTGAGCATTGATATTATTTGTAAGTGGTGTTATTCAGTTGATGCAGCATGACAGTAACCCCAGCCTTATTCTTTTAATGCTCTGACTCAGTCGATGTTAAGGATAATGTGGGACATCTATTGAGGCTGCTTGTCATGTACTGCTTGGCCTTGCAGAGACCAAATTGCTGACATTATTTTAAAGCTGTTGCAATGAAGATGACCGCTTTAAAATCACATGTCTTCTTTAAAATATGTGGAAATTTGTTTTTGATTGATAATGTGAAATCTATTATAGATCCAGGAGAAAGTTGTTTCCTTTGTAATTTATTGCTCTTGCTTGATGAATGGAGCTTCATACTTGTATTTTTTAATGTCGGAGTGGACTACTTGTGCAGTAAAATTTTTAAAGCAAGATCTGTGGTTGAGAGTTCATGGCCAGGTTGTTCAAGGGTTGAAATTTAGTGTAATTTAGTGCTTGTCAAATAAGAAAGGTCTTTTAGAACTGATCATTGGTGCCAGAACTAATAAATATATTCACCATTTGGGATGATAATGAGTTGGGTGTTATGGGACCCACACCTACTTATCCCTACCCTACCTTTCCTGCTTTTCACATAGAAAGCCCAACAACCTGTCCTGCCTTGCACCTGGGACAGTTTCTCTATCATTGCCCCAGTGACATTCTCTAGACTTGTCTCTGTGCTGCTAAACCTCAAATGTAAGTTATTCTTGTCGCTCATCTTTTCAGTGAGGGTTGAAAAGAGAGAACTTACCATTATAGATCAATTTGAACCCCTGCAAAGGCAAACCCCAACCATGTTTGAAGATTCTGAATGATCTTCATCATTGTTAGAAAACAAGGCTCTAAATCTAGGTCATGCATGTGTCAAACAATTACAGAGAAAGGAGTCATAATAAGATGGATGCAACAGTGAACTTCATCATTGTCTTTATCTGCTGCAAAGGAAGTGCAAGTTTTGATGTGGGCATTGGTTTGGAGTGAGAAATTTGAAAGAATGAATTGCCGGAGAGAAAACCTTTCTGATTTTGATACAAGTTAGCTATTGTGAGAAATTCTAAAAATGTGAGGATTTAATAGATTTGATATTTAATCTGGGTTGTGTGGGTCTCTTTTAATCCTGGCCACACTCTACATGCAGGTTGAGCATGGTTTTCTCCACCTAAACCTGCCCCAAAACCTCGTTAATCCCTCCCCTAACCCACCCCATGAGTTTAGGCAGTTTGGGGCAGGAGATGCTACTTTTAAATATGGGTTTTCCATATTCAACATTGACCTTGCTCTTTGCCTGCAATCAAACGGTGTCTTAAACAAAAGTAATATCAACCATAATCAAGTGAAATGTTAGTAAAAAAGTTTCAATTGTTCAAGAAGTTTCATTTGTTAAATTACACCATGTGACTCCATAGTATATTGTGCTGCAGTAATGTCAACTGTGATGCTACATTGTGAACACGATCTTGCTGTAAAACATATGAATAATGACTGGAAATAAAATAATCCATCAAGTTCCCATATGAACCCTGGATTGCCATTATGGATGCCAAATTAAAGCTTGACACTTCCAAATATGCTTCTTTTGTTCTTCTATAATCTTGTGCCAATTGACATATCATAATGGAATTGCATTTTGCAATGTATGAATGAATTTAAAGTAGTGTTGTTGACGAGTTGTCTGCATTTTTTACTCAAGACTCATGCTCCTTGCTGTTGTAGTTGTTGCTTATTATTTATCCTTTTGCAGCGTCATCCTATTTCCAATAGCTGTCACTTTCTATATAACATGGTGGTTTATTCATTTTGTGGATGAATTTTTCTCTCCAATTTATGCTCAGCTGGGCATCAATATCTTTGGTAAGAATATCCATTTTCTTGACTTGGGTATGGATCTAGCCACATATGAACCCATATAAGTTGTGGTTTGATTGCTGAAATTTCTCTGATTGGCATCTCTGTGAACAGTTCTTTTACATGTCTCATTTATTTTGTATTTGATCATATTTTTGGTTAGGTCTCGGTTTTGTTACTTCCATCACATTCATCTTCTTGATCGGAGTGTTCATGTCATCATGGTTGGGGGCATCAGTTTTGGGTCTTGGGGAGTGGTTCATCAAACGGATGCCATTTGTCCGTCTTATTTACAGTGCCTCAAAGCAAATTAGTGCTGCCATATCTCCAGGTATGCTTTCTGTTAATTGTTTTCCCCATTTTTTTGTTTTTTGTTTTTTGTTGTTTTGGTAGGGATGGGTGATTAATTTTCTTATTTCACTATTGTTGCAGGTCAGAACACACAGGCATTCAAGGAGGTGGCTATCATAAGGCATCCACGTATTGGTGAATATGCATTTGGGTTCATCACTTCATCTTTGGTCCTTCAGGTTAGCAACTTATTTTTCCGTTCTGGTATTCTTTTCTTTTTCCCCTTATTTTCCTGGCATTTATGGAAGTATCATCATCTAATGTGTATCATACAGCACAATCTGTTTGCCATACTTTTTAGTGCATTGTTGCTCAGTTTGTCAATTCTTGCTTTCCAACCTAGAGCTTAGTCTTGATGCCAAGCAATTACAACCTTGTGAAACTATTATCAGCTTGACCTTTTGTTTCAATGATGATATTGAACTTCTCAAATACCATGTTTTGCTTGCTAATTGCAAGGCCTTTGCTTCTAGCTTCTTGTAATATAGCCTAATCTTGATACTTGTAGTTTTTATTATTAGTCTTGATACTTGTAAAGTGGTAGTTATTCTTACGCATATTGATATAATTCTATTATGTTCTTAGTTGCTATGTTGCTGTCTGAACTTTTCCCATTGAATTTTTTACTTCTTGCTTCTTTGATATGAGGTTTGATGTCAAGTTCCTGAACAATGGAATTCTCGACCTTGGGGTTGCTTGTAAATTATATATGATCATCTTTGGCTACATATGTGATTACTGTTCTACTAAAGGTAGTACACAGGTCATTTTGTTGAAACCTGAGAGAACGTAAGAATCAACTGCCAACAAATTGATTTATGTTCATCTGGTCTGATTGCTGAATTTCCCTCATTCAAATGACTAACTTCTCTACTTGGTTTTCCAGAACTATTCAGGTGATGAGGAACTATGTTGTGTATATGTTCCCACTAACCATCTTTATATCGGTGATATACTCCTCGTCAATGCTAAGGATGTTATTAGACCAAACTTGTCTGTTCGGGAAGGAATTGGTAAGAACTCTTCTCTAAAAGTCGTAAATACGTCCTTCAACCTTTTGCCATACATGACCCTTGAGCTATATTATGTTACATGGACTTCCTGTTTCCCCCAAAGTGCCGTGTCCGGCAAATATGACAAGGGTAAGAATGTCGACACCCATATCTAATTTAGACATTTGGATCCTTTATTTTATTACGATATTGAAGAAAATAAACTCACTTTTGCTAGTGAAGAAACGCTTGCAGCCTCACATAACATAACGATGAGAGAGAAATTTCATATTTTTTCAAAATTCCTTTTAATTTCAAGTATATTTCAACATAAATTACGACATCTTATCTAAGCCTATTATACAATATGCCATATAGGTGTCCATGACGTGTCCTGTTACATATATCTAACTTTTGGATACATATCCCAATATCTTAAGATTTAAGTTTATGGAAGTTTGACACTCGGGATACTCACTGCACCCTTGTCGGATACTCGTACTGAGTCCAAGTAGCATAGCTCTTGAGCTGGCATTGCCTACTAACTTGTGTGGTAACCAGGTACCTTGTATGGGAATATCTCCTCACTGTCCTTCATTCTTTACTTGCAGAAATTGTCGTGTCTGGGGGCATGTCAATGCCACGGATCTTGTCGACGCTGCATCCAACAACTGTTCAAGTGGATAGAATTGGACCCGACAGAAGTTGAGAATCAAGACAGTAGTAGATGTAGTTGAGTTGTTCATTTATCACCTTCTCATGTTTCAGGCGAAGTCATCAGAATGACCACATGATCTGTATGCATCATCATCTCATGAATCTACCATTTAGATTTTTTGGTTCATGTATCAAATTCTGATGACATGTAATATTGGTTTTCGTGTACAATGTAGGAAGGTATCGCTTGTTTGAAAATATATAGTCGGTTTTTGTCACAGGTCAATATAGGTTGTTTGTCTTTGGATTGTTTCACCCTTTTTGGTCATACCTGCTCTACATGTAATGGATGTCACTCATCTCACTTGATGGGTCTTTTTCAATTATGAGTTTTTCCAGATTCCAGTTCAGTTTTGTTGACGGAAAATAGGTTCTCTGATGAATCCAGGTTTATGGGGACGCCATGAAGGTTAAAGCTAGGATTTGCTGTTTAAAATGATCATAGAAACAAAAGATTTTGCTTGTTTGGAAATTGGTGAGCAAAATTTTAAATTTCTCACTTATGAGCTAACTAATTTGATTTGCACAACAGGACACTCTTGGATTGTGGTTGGTTCCATGATTTGTCCTCAGAACCGTGTCAATCCCATGTTATTTTGGAGTCCAGTACTTGTCAAGATTTGAGGAAATTGGAAAAGGAAGTAAATGTTAAACAGAGAGTTTACCATAGGGGAGTGTCCAGTAAGCTATCACAAAAGAGTTGTTTTTTGATTAGTTGTTCTGACTCGTTTTTTTTTTTTTTTACAGAAAAATTGGATGGAGTAAGAAATTTTTTAAAAGAGCAATTTTGGGTGGCCCGAAAAGGAAGTTGACTCAAATGGTCCGAATTTCACCTTGTAGGTCATCCGGGCGGACGTTCGGTGAGGAAATTGACAGCTGCGGTCGACAAAGGTGACAACTGCAGTAGACAAGCTTTTATCTGGGCGTTTGGGTGAACGTCCGGCCAAAACTCATTCGGGCTATTTGAGCTGTTCTTTTTCGGGCTACCAAGCATTTTATTTTTTAAAAATGCGGAGTATCAAAAATAATTGCAACAGAAGTGGAAATTTAAAAATTAATTACAAAAGTATGGTAAAATTTACATTTTGCCCTTTCCACTTTTACTCTCAACCCCTTTTCTCTTCCCTCTCCCACCTCCAACCATTGGCTACCCCATCTCTGCGCTACCTCACCTTCCTTAAAGGAGTTTGGGAGTGGGGGCGGGAATGGTGGGGGAAAGCAAAGTGAATCTAGCAGAAATTGAAAAGGGTAGGGGAGGGGTGGTTGATGATTGAGGAGGGTGGTTATGGGCTGAGAAGATGAGGGTGAGGGAAAGGGAGGAAGAAAGAAAAGACGAGGTGAGAGGCAAAAATGAGAAGACTAAAAAATAAAGGGATGGTTATAAAAAAATCTTAGGGTTTGAATTTTATAACAAAATAAATTTTTAATTTTGTCAATTTAAATACTAATATTTTGACTTATTTTCAATCTAAATCTTTCACCTATTTTCATTAAGTAAAACTGACGAAAAAATAGTATTTTAATAATTAAACTTAATGTAGATATACATAAAATATTTAAAATACTCTTTTTCGTTGAAGTTAATGATTAAAATGTATTTTTTCTGTCGATTTCACTTGAGAAATATAGACAAATAGTTTAGACTGAAAATAAATCAAAATTTTTTAGTTTAAATTAATAAAATTAAAAATTCAAGATTATTTTGTTATAATGGTAAAATCTTGATTTATTTTATTTTTTATTTTTGTAATTTTCACAAAAGTAAATATACCATGTTTTTTTTATTATTTTTAACTTTCCATAGACCACAATATTTACTGATAAATTTCATCCCACAAACAGTTGCACCAATTGGTCCCAATGTTGTTTCTATTGTTCTTAATAGTCCTATTAGTTGGGAAATATATCCCATTTGATCCTGTTTCCTTTGTTTGTTAGTATTTAGTGGTCAATTATACACTTCCATTTGCTGGCGGACGATTTTGGTGGGATTACGTGTGCACTTTTTGATATTCAAACGTTACCATTGTGACGCTACTCCAATTAGTTCCAAATTTTTTTTTATTGATTTGTTTAGTCCTATTAATGAAGAATTTCTTTCTGTGTGGTCCTATTTTTAATTTTGGTAGTGTTTTAGCGGACAGTTATACCCTTTTATTAATGTGACAGGTATGATGTAATACTCTAATGTGACAGGTATAAATGTGACACTCCAATGATGTGACATTCCAAAAAAATAAAAATTATTTAGTGTACTTTTCCTAAATGTAAGAACGCAGCGCATATGATATGACACTCTAAAACGTTTACTCCAAAAAAAAAATAAATAAATAAATAAATAAACTCTTTAGTGTACTTTTTCCTAATGTGACAACGTAACAGGTATGATGTGATACTTCAAAAAAATAAAAACTTTTTAATGTATTTTTCCTTAATGTGACAACGCGGCGGGTATGATGTGACACTTCAAAAAAAATAAAAACACATTACTGTACTTTTTTCAAACGTGATAATGTGGTGGGTATGATGTGATACTCTAAAAAAAATTTAGTGTACTTTTCTCAAACGTGACATGTGACACTCCAACTTAACGGATATGATGTGACACTCTAAAAAAATTAAAAACAAACATAACCCAGATTCAAATGTTGTATATCTTAGATTTGGCAACCCAATCGTTGTATGTGGCATGTGGAATCAACACACCAAACCCAAAACCCATATAAAGTCTTAGTACGCTTTTCTATTATGTGGCACCTAACACACACGCCAAACAAGGCACTTGTGAAGCATTTGCCCATTCAACAAACTTCAACTGCGACACGTCACCCACACGTACACCAACCAGTCCTGTTATACAAAAATAAAATGTAACCCCGCGCATCCAATCACGGCCACGCAACTGGTACGCTGTTCACCAGTGGTATTTGTGTCTTTCCACAAGGGAAAGGACCAAACAGGTTAACAGAATTTTTATGGGACCAAATGGAATACAATTTCAACTTTTAGGATATACAGGTAACTTTCCCATTATTTTTTTGTTCTCTCACATTTTTACAAATTTTTAAACTTTCTTTCTTTTTCATTTTTGGTAATACAATTTTACCCCTTTTTTTCTTTTTATCAATTTTCATTCCATGAGCTTCTTCAATGATGTGGTAATATTTGACAACCTTTTTTGTTTCCACATCTTGAACTTAAATAAATATAACAATTTTTATAAACATTTTGTGAGAAATACAGAACAAATAACATTTACAACATTAAACAACATTGCCAAAATATAATATTTATTATTATGCATTGTTAAAATATATTAATAACTAATCATTTAACTACTAAATTATTTGAAGTGTTTTTGAATGTTAGCTTATGATGAAAAAGCCCTCGCCAAATATTTAAAAGGAAAATGTGATACAAATTAACATATTTGATAAAATTTTCTTATTAATTGATGTCATACAATAAGAAAATTCTGAAATCCAAAATTACTAGTTTTTTTTTAAATAATGTGAATATTGTGACATTGGAGAAAATTTATTATTAGATGCTGAAAAAAGGTTTATAAAATTCATTATTTTATACTATAATTTATTACTCTACTTAAAAAGATAAAAGTTGAAGCTAAAAATACATTAAAAACAAAGGGGGATTTTTTTAAGGTTTCTGTTATTAAGATTTTATAGAATAAAGGACATATAATATTTTCATAATAGTTGGGGTCCCTTAACATTTTTTTGGAGAAGTTTCAATTTAGAGAAATTTCCAAATACAGAGAAAAAATGTTTTGAAATTTCTCTACTTTGCTCAATTTATATATTTTTCAATGTGTTTTGAAGTTTTTCTGGGTTGAATTTCCTCTAGTTTGCTTACAAATTTCTTTGTGATTTGCTTACAATTTTCTCTGTCTTTCGACCAATTTTCTCTAATTTGCTCATAATTTTCTCTATGTTTTAACCAAACCAGAGAAAATTGTGTCTTTTCATAGAGAATTTTCAACAAAAAGAGAAAGAGAAAATCAACAGGCACAAGGAGAATTCCAGAGAAATTTCATATCTCAAGGGGATATGTTAATGCCGGAGAAATTACAGAGAAAATCAACATGCTAGAGAAATTTTATTTTTACAAATTTGTCTTACTATCACACACAAATCTGACCAATGTTTTAGGCAAACAAAATCAACTTATTAAGAGATAAAGTTTTCACAAAGTTCTCTAAAATGACAAAAAAAATTATCCATCTTTTAGTCATAGAAAATCAACTGAAATAGATTTGATGCTTTTCAAAATGTTCATTGTAAAGGGAGATAAATTTTATTTTTAAAAATTTCTCTAACTAACACATACAAATCTGGCCCAAGGTTATGAAACCCTAATTACGAATAGAGATGAACTGAAATGAAGATGAACTGACTCAAGGATGAACAATGCAAATGCGTCAGACAAATTTATGAAGAATGGCAAAGATTTTTGCTGTCGATTGTAAATATGAAACCCTAATGTCATTGTCTATCGTGAAGATAATAATCTCTCTATCTAAAATCTTTATTCTTCTTACTTTCTCTTCTTATCTATCTTTTTTTCTCTTCTTTTTTTTCAGTTGCCATGGACGGATAACAAATATATATATATATGCATAGCTTTGGTTGAGGAATAGTAACAAACAATTGAGATTCCAAGACATAGCACTGTAATGGTGACTATAGTTTTGACTCAACAACAAGTTCAGGCGGCGGCGACGCTTCTTATGACGCCACATACTGGCGGCGGTGGAGGGTTCACGAATGTGTCACTGTACATGGGTTATCTCAATCCGATTGGGAACGAAGGCCATCACAAACAGATCGTCCAAACATGTTGAGTAAGCTCTGATGACTTCTAGATCTCTGACGATAGTGATGGTAGAAAATGATAGAGAAATGATTGTTGTGAGGAGATCTGAAACCTAGAGAGAGAAGAAGAAGAAAGAGATAGAGAGAATAAGAGTGTGGGTGTGATATATGGGTGAGAGGGATCTTAGGCTATAAAAAAAATATTGTGGACCTCTCACATTACTAAAAGTTTGAGAGGGATGATAAATTAAATATCCCTAAAAAAAAGTAATTGTTAATATATAAATGTAAGAGAATTCAATACTTTCTTTCTATTTTTTCTTGCTAATCCACCATTTTGTAGTTCAAAGGGCAAAATGTACATATTTGTAAGTATTAAACAATAATAAATGAAAATTAGAGAGAGATGAGAAATAACAAACAAAATTTAAAGAAGATTGGATTTGTACTAACTAGAAATAAGAGAAGGACAATTCTGTCTAAAATATACAACATCCAAAAGCGGGTAGCTCTAAATG